TTTTTTTTTTGGAGACAGAGTTTCTGTCACCCAGGCTGGAGTGCAGTGGTGTGATCTCGGCTCACTGCAACCTCCACCTGGGTTCAAGCTGTTCTCCTGCCTCAGCCTCCCAAGTAGCTGGGATTGCAGGCGCCCACCACCACACCCAGCTAATTTTATATTTTCAGTAAAGATGGGATTTCACCATGTTGGTCAGGCTGGTTTCAAACTCCTGACCTCAGATGACCCGCCCGCCTCGCCTCCCAAAGTCGTGGGATTACAGGCGTGTGCCACTGTTCCTGGCCTCTCAACTGTTTTTGATTAGTGGCTCTTACTTTAAAAAGGACAATCAAAGCAGTTTGAAATGAGCCTCGAGGAAGTGGGTAGAGGGGCTGCCACTCCGCTTAATTTTCTCCACGCTGAGATTTCATTTCCTCCTTGCCAGAGGGCTGGGAGGGTGAGACTTCCAAAGCAGCTCCAGTTTCCACAGGACCCATGAGGTGGGATTCCTGTGAGGAGGAAGGGAGGTTTCAGACCCTTCCAGAGAGACAAGAGCCCCACTGCACTCAGCCTGCCTTCCGGACAGCGCCCTCCTCCGTGCACCTGCCCTCCCCAAGGTCTCTCCGTACTTCTCCTGGCCACTCTGTGGCGACAGCAACACAGAAGTCAAAAACCCATCAACACGGGCAGCACAGGCCGAGGGAGCTGCTTCCGGGTGGGAAAGAGAGTCCCCAGGTGGTGCGGAAAAGAGAGGAGAAGGCGAACACCCTGTGAGCGCATGTCCAGCTGCCCAGGGGCCCCCACGTGCCAGTTTCCTGTGAGCCGAGACCTGTGGGGTCTCGTGCGGCCGGGTTTCTGCCCTGTCCGTCCAAAACACAGGATGAAGCTGATGCCTCACTCAGGGTCTCCTTCTCTCTCCCTGCAGTGCACCCACTCTGGACGGGCCCAGTCTCTGTGCCAGGGGGCACCCGGCAGTCTCCCATCAACATCCAGTGGAGGGACAGCATCTACGACCCCCGACTAAAGCCACTCAGGGTCTCCTATGACGCAGTATCCTGCCAGTACATCTGGAACACTGGCTACCTCTTCCAGGTGGAATTTGACGATGTCACCGAGGCATCAGGTAAGTGCCAGCTGGGGCTCGAGGGCTTTCTCCTCTCCCATTGTTCTGGGAGCAGGATCGGGGGCTTCGCGGAGTAGAGGGAGGAGAGCAGGAAGGTGCTGCTTTCCTTGTGCTGCTGGGGCAGGGACCGAGACTCGCTTGGGGGAGGACACACCCGGGGGATGGTGCGAAGGTTCTCGAGGGGACCGGAGACTGGTGCTCACTTTACAGATGAGAATGCCGCCAGCACCTGCATGCACACAGGTGCACCTAGCAAGGAAAAACCCCTTCCCGCAGGGCTCGCTCTACAGGGGTTGGGAGAGACAAGCTAATCGAAATGCGAACACTTTGCACGTTGGAAGAGGAACTCAGAACGGGGTGGAGGACAGAAGGCAGTGGTGGCTGTGACGCCCACACTGGCCTTGATAATCTAGGCAGAGGCCTGCAAGGAAGATGAGGCCCACAGCAGGGCAGGGGTGTCGGGAGCCTGGAAATGAGATCACTGCAGGCTTGGGCAGGCGGTGACCTGGCCGACCTTTATTTTATTTTATTTATTGAGACAGAGTCTTGCTCTGTCCTTCAGGATGGAGTGTGTGGCGCGATCTCAGCTCGCTGCAATCTCTGTCTCCTGGGTTCAAGTGATTCTTCTGCCTCAGCCTCCCGAGTAGCTGGGATTACAAGTGGCTGCCACCACACCCGGCTAATTTTTGTATTTTTAGCAGAAACGGGATTTCGCCATGTTGGCCAGGCTACTCTCAAACTCCTGACCTCAGGTGATCCGCCCACCTTGGCCTCCCAAAGTGCTGGGATTACAGACATGAGCCACCACGCCCAGCCCTGGCTGACCTTTTAAATGGACCCCCCAGCTGCTGTGAAGGACAGACTGAGGAGGCGCCTGGAGGGGAGCAGGGGTTAAATAGGAGGCGGTCCGGGGAGATGCAGGTGGGAGACGGTGGTGGAGGAACGGGGTGGGCTGGGAGGTGACTTGAGAGGTCCTGGAAGCCACCAAGCCCTTACTGGGTTCCAGCGCTTGGCCAAGGGCTTCTGCAGATCATCTCAGCAAACCTTCACCATGATTCTCGGAAGTTCCAGGCGGATGCTCTGCAGTTTGAGAAGGTTCTCTCTATGCCTATTATGTTTGCATTTTTATCAGGGTGGCTGTCAGGTCCTACCTGGTGTTTTCCCAGCACCAGCTGGTGGCACCGTAAGCTGCCTTCATGCCGAACACCTGCTCTCCCTCCTGCGGCGAGTCTGGAATTGGGCCACATGCTGCGTATCAGGTGCCTATGTGAACAGCTCCCAATAAACCCTTGGGCACTGAGTCGCTAGTGAGCTGCCCTGGTACAGAACACGTCACACGTGTTGTCGCTGCTGGTTTAGGGGAGAATTAAGTCTGTCCTGTGTGTCTGCCCTGGAGTCCTCCAGATACAGCCCAGGCACCTCTTCGCGTGGCTGATCTCGCTCTGCATCCTTTTGCTGAATGTAGCTTAGCTCTGAGGGTGGCTCTGTGCTGGACCCGGTGACTCTTCCTGGGGAATCATCAAACCCGGGGGCCCCGACGCAGCCGCAGCCCCACGTCCT